ACGATGAGAACTTCATAGATATTCTGTCTGACAACGCTTTTGTTCGTAACACCTTACAGATTGAGGGTACCCAAGGATAAGTCAAACTATAAGTAAGGAAGTTTGACTTATCCTTGGGTACCCTCAATCTTTCAAACTATAAGTAAGGAATCGACGTAAGTCCGCCTAGTCTTAATGAAGTTGAAAAAGCGTTAGGAAATCTGAAACGAGGACGAGCTGCAGGTCCTGATAGACTGACCCCTGAGATATTTAAGGATGGTGGTCCAGTTTTAGCAGCTAGATTGACTGAGATCTTAGGTAGAATCTGGGAACTGGACGTAATCCCATCCGACTGGTCTCAATCATTGATTGTCCCAATCTATAAGAAAGGACAGAAGTCCTCTTGTGACAATCACAGAGGAATAAGTCTAACTAATATAGTATCTAAAATATTGGCCTCAGTAATACTTCGACGCTTAACGAAAGCTCGTGAAGAGCAGACTCGAGAAAACCAGGCTGGTTTTCGACCTGGACGTGGCTGTATAGACCACATTTTCACACTACGACAGGTCCTGGAACACAGACACACATTTAGGCGTCCTACAATAGTTGTTTTCCTGGACCTTAAGGCGGCATTTGACTCAGTGGATCGTGAGGTTCTGTGGCAGTGTCTGTCATTGAAAAGTGTACCAAAGAAGTACATCAACCTCATACAAGCTCTCTACTCAAACACCACTGGTCGGGTGAGAGCTTATGGCGAACTGTCACCGGAATTCTCTACTTCAAGTGGTGTCCGTCAGGGATGTCCACTTTCTCCATTCTTGTTTAATTTTATCATAGACATGCTCCTAGAAATAACCTTATCCTCGTCTGAATTTTCTGGAGTAGACCTTTTACCTGCTAGCTCGCTTATTGACTTAGAATATGCCGATGACATAGTCCTACTTGGTGAAGACGCTGACAAAATGCAGAGTCTTCTGAATACCCTAAGCAACAATGCTAGCATGTTCGGGATGCGGTGTTCCCCCTTGAAATGCAAAATGTTGCTTCAAGATTGGGTTTCATCGGCACCTGAACTAGTGATGGGGAGTGAAGTGGTCGAACGTGTAGACCGCTTCACTGATCTTGGGAGTCTCATCAGTGCTGATGGCCTGATGACTGACGAAATCTCGGCACGGATACAGAAGGCTCGATTGACTTTTGCCAACCTGCGTCACTTATGGCGTAGGCGAGATATCCATTTGCTGACTAAAGGACGAGTGTACTGCGCAGTGGTTCGCTCCGTCTTACTTTATGGCTGTGAAACATGGCCAGTTAGAGTAGAAGATATTCTTAGGTTACTGGTTTTCGATCATAGGTGTCTTCGAAGCATTGCTCGAATACCGTGGGACAACCGAATGAGCAACGCCGTTATTAGGAAACGGGTACTAGGTGAGAATGGCAGATCAATCGATGAAGTGGTGAAACTTCATCAGTTGAGGTGGTTGGGACATGTCTTGCGTATGCCTAACCACCGACTGCCTCGTCGAGCTTTGTTTTGTAGTGTAGGACTAGTTTGGAAGAAAGTTAGGGGCGGCCAGACCAAAACATGGCATAAATCCATGAAGTCATTGACGAGTGGACTTAGCCATGTCGGTAATTGTCGACTACCTGGTTGGGGTCCGCGAGATGATAATAGTCGATGGTTAGAGACCTTGAATGACATGGCTCAAAATCGTTCGCAATGGCGCCAGTGCATTTATTCTTTGTGTTCTCTCAAATCCTAATCTTCTGGAATCTTCAAAAACTCTAGTTTTTACTTTCTAAACTTATCTCACTGAATCATACTTCGTGAATAATATCTTCTAATTCTAACCTCTCCGATTACTTCTAATATCTTTACTACCTCTTCTACTATTGGATTTGAATTGACGATTACTTCTCTGTGCTGATGTGGTATGGCGACATGAACTGATGTACTTACGTACGAAGTTCTACGTTGCAACTGACTGACTGACTGATAAGTAAGGAATGAAGAAGAGTCAGTCAGTCAGTCAGATGCAACGTAGAACTTTGTACGTGAGTACATCAGTTCATGTCGCCATACCACATCAGCACAGAGATATAATTGTCAATTCAAATCCAATAGTAGAAGAGGTAGTAAAGGTATTAGGAGTAATCGAAGAGGTTAGGACTAGAAGATATTATTCAAAACGTATGATTTAACGAGAAGTTTAGAGAGTCAACCTAGAGTTGTTGAAGAACCCAGAAGATTAGGATTTGAGAGAACACAAAGCATAAATGCACCGGCGGCACTGCGAACGATTTTGAGCCATGTCATTTAACGTCTCTAACCATCGATTATTATCATCTCGCGGACCCCAACCAGGTAGTCGGAATGAAGAAGATAGGTATATCTGATGAATGGTGATGTTGAGGAGTGAGCAAGCCAAGCTTTTTAGTTGGAATGGGGTGACGCGTAGCACGACGTACTCAACTGTAATCTGATGTGGATGCGCGACCGAGCGCTGAGGTGAGTCTGTAGTGATACTGGTAACTAACCAGATAATTTGTAAGGTTAAATATGTGACTGAAAAGACTCATTGGCCGTCGAAGAATTGGGGGAGGCCAGAAATCGCGAACGCGAAAATGCACAACCAACATGACATGGTTCAGTCATGCAGGCGTGGTTCTTCTATGTTACGCCTTCCATTTCATATTTAATATGTTATTCTAGTCCCAGCCCGAACATGTGCTTCAAAAGTATTGGAAAGCATGCCGCTGAGTGTCATGATAGAATGAGTCAGTATAGATAATGTGATTTCGATATAAATCCTTATACATCAAGCAGTTATATTATGACAAGCATAAAATTGTGGGACAAGTCTATTATTCTGTTAGCATAGATAAGTGCACCGTTAATCGCTTACACCGAAATCCTATATATCCAATAAAAATAATGAGCTCAGACGTACAGAACTATCTTGGAATTTATTTATCGCTACAAATCTCTTCAATCTTCAAAAGAAGAGATAAGATCCAGCCTGCTACAGACCAGCTGCGTTACTACAAAAACAATCAAAGGTAGTGGAAGGACTGATGAATAAACAAATGAAGTAATACATGCATAAGAACCCGGTACGGGTTTAGGGGAGGCACGTCGTAAGCATTCAATTTTCTCACCGTATGAGACAGCTGGACAACCTGCTGAGACCAGAAAAATACCAGTTTATAAAATACTCTCTGACTTCGCGAAAGCCTTTGACAAAGTAGCCCACGTACTTCTCATAAGGTTGTGAAGATGAGTTTCACTGACTAGCTCCTATCTTGGCTCCGAAGCTACCTAGAGAACAGGACGTTCTTTACCAAGGTAAAAAGGGTTCATGCGAACTAGTGTCTCAACAACAGGAGTTTTACAGGAGACCAACTTAGATCCACTACTTTTCCTGATTTTTATCAGTAACTAGTTAGATGAAACTGGAAGCTGATGTTGAAAAGACCTGGAGATCCATAAGAAGCAATGAGGATACGTTTGGGCTTCGAAACGACCATACAAGATAAAGGGGATGGGCAGAAACAACAGGTTAAAGTATAACCAGTCAAAACACCACGCTATGAACATTGTGCCCCATGCGACACACAACCTACGCCTTCATGGAGATCCGCCCTTAAGTGCCTCCTAAGAGCGCTGTCCCAATCTAATAGCTACAAAGGGCCTGCACACAACTTCAAACAACATTTTTAAGACATAAACAAGGCCACACATTGAATTTCACAATGTCATCGTACCTTGTCTCCTTGAGGGAGACAAATCTGGATCGAGCGCAGAGACGAGCGACTAGATGAGTGACAATGTTAACCAATAAACTTTACAAAGAGAGACTCCAACACTTGAGTTACAGGAGAATCAGAGATTGCCTGATAATGACATACAACGCATTCCAATCAATCCGCCAATAGCAAAGCACAACTTCGTACGTACGTACACCAGTTCAATTCGCTGTACCACATTAGCACAGAGATGTAATTGTCAATTCATATCCCATAGTAGTAAAGGTAGTAAAGGTATTAGCAGTAGTCGGAGAGGTTAAGATTAGAAGATATTATTCCAGAAGTAGAATTTAGTGAAGTAGACTTAAAAATACAAAGTGACGAATTAAAAAAAGTGTGGGATTTAAGAGAACACGAAGAATGAATGCACCTGCACCATTGCAAACGATTATGAGCCATGTCATTCAGTCTCTAACCATCGGTTGCTATCGTCTCGCGGACCCCAACCAGTTAGCTTACATCTGCCAACATGACTTAGTCCACTTGTCAGCGACTTCATGTATTTTTGCCATGTTTTGGTCCGGACGCCCTTAGCTTTCTTTTTAATTCTTCGTCACGTATTAATTACGCCGAATCGTTCCAACACTGATATCTTGCCTAAACATCAACATTACGCACCTCAATGTAACCCTTGAGATATTGCACAACAAGGGGCGAACATCCAGGTACGCTCACACTTTTTTCATCAAGAGTCGCCCCGATTCGGAATGCTCTCCTAACCGAAGTGATCACAGCCCTCTCAGTGAATAACTTCAACAAGACTTAACAAACACGCACTCATACTGACGGATTTCCCCTTTGGACGAGCTGTGCCTGATGAACATCTTAAAACTTGCTAGTTGTGATTATTGTCATTTTTTCAGATCACTAACTCGTGTTTATTATTTCTATTCCCGCTTCTTTGCTTACACTTGTCTTCACACAATATTCTCTGTAAACCGATTAAATTAGTTGACAGTTCAAACAGGTTTTAGATCTCATTACCATTAAAATTTCTTCCATATTATTCTACACACTGCAACTGACTGATCGCCCGCCTGGCAATGTGATAGGTGATGGTATCCAAGATACCTACTACCCTGAGATGAACGTATCACTTGAATCACGGGACATGAAAATTCATGAAAAAAAACTGATAACTGACAAAAACCGGTGCAATCGAGTGGCTGGACTACCATCCACTGAACATTACCAAATACCTGGAACCGTACCGAAATAACGAGAAGCGAGCGCGTTTATCCAGTGTCCAATATCTTTATTACGAGCTAGTATGGACAAACTGATTTCTTTGCTCTCAATTCTTGTTCTCCCGGTACAGTTCCAGATATTCGGTGGAGAATTCGTTGGTTTCCGATATCCAATCCATCATCTTTTCCACCATCTGGGTGCAAACATTTGAGTTTTCATAGTACCTAGCCGGTGATCATCTACTGTCAACCTCCCGCATTCCCGTTGCCATGAGCAGTTTAGAAGACTCTCTCTCATGTACATGTAGTTTACCCTGGTGCAGCAAGTGTAGGACACGCTTTGGTCTGCCATGAGCATTTCGTTTATGACCACGTTAAACATGATTGAGTCATGATCGCTTCGTCCTATAGGTGTGTGGACATGGACATCCATTTGCGCTGAAGTAGAACCAGCATGATTCTGTCGCGTCGCTTAGTTTTGTGCATTGTTGTGCTACCACTTTGAAATGGCTGTTAGTATATTTCGTGATTCCACCTCTTGTTTTCTGTATCCTAACGTATCGGAAATCTCATGCCCAGCAAGCTCACTACATTTGCAATGTTTGGACTGAGCAGTATTTTTCGCATTATTCTTCATCAAAAGAAAATTCACTATTCATTACACTAACCTAGTGGAACGTCAAATAAAATTAGTAGATTTTGTCTTACGTCCTTATTCCTACTTGCTTGTATTTTTGAAGCTTTGTGCAGCCGTTTCCTTTCTTTATACTCATTTATTGCCTTGCACTGGTAACATACATTCGATATTTGACAATGACCAGCAATTTCATTGCCATATTAGCTCGGGTAGCGGCTGTCTTTGTCGCTCGTTTGGTTATCGTTTTGTTGGGCGAGCGAGATCTGCTATCGGCCATCTTTGGTTATGATAATCAATCAATCATAGCAACGTAAAATTACGGACGTAAGTACATCAGTTTTTAGTGGTGAATGAGTCGAGATTGACTATGATCATCACTAAATATTAATTATAATCCCGTCACATGTTATAGAAATACATCCATGGTTCAATATTTATTTAAAGGAGAAAGTAGGCATACATAGAACAGCAAGTTATGAAAAATGGCGGCAACATGTAAAAGTCACGTTGCGGGCAAGCTAGTGTTTTTTGGTACATTTAAACTAAACGAGTACAATCATAAACGTTTATTTTTAACCAATCGAGTTTTCTTCACAGAAGTATTCCACCACAAGTTCGTGTTGCCACACCACATTAGCAAAGAGATGTTATTGTTAGTTCAAATCCAATAGTAGAATTAGGTGGTAAAGTTATTAGAAGTTATTGAAGAGAGTTGGGTTCGAAGATGTTATTCACGAAGTAGAATCTAGAGAAATAAACCTAAAAGGAAAAAGAAAAAGTGATGAAGAATTAAAAAGTTTGGGATTTAAGAGAACACAAAGAATCAATGCACCTGAGCCATTGCAAACGGTTTTGAGCCATGTCATTCAAGGTCTCTAACCATCGTTTGCTATCGTCTCGTGGATTCCAACCAGTTAGCCTACATCTGCCAACATGACTCTTTCCATATATCAATGACTATATGTATTGATGCCACGTTTTGGTCCGGACGCCCCTAGCTTTCTTTGGTACACCCTTTAGTGACACACACTGCCAAAGAACCCCAACCCAATCCTACTCCAAAAACATAGCTCCAAGAGGCAGTCGATGGTTAGGCATTTGTAACAAATGTCCCAACCACCTCTATTGATCTGCCAACCTTACCTAGTACCGTTTCCTAACAACACCAGTGCTTACTCGATAGTCCCAAAATAAACGAGCGATGCTTCGGAGACATTTATGATCGAAAATCAGTAACCTACCTATTTCTTCTACTCTAACTAGCCATGTTTCAAAGCCCTAAAATAGGACGGAGAGAACTGCTGAGCAGTACAATCGTCCTTAGGTTAGCAAACGGATATCTTGCCTACGCCATAGATGACGCACGTTGGCAAAAGTCAATCGAGCCTTCTGTATCCGCGCTCAGATTTTGTCAGTCACCAGGCCATCATCACTGATGAGACTCCCCAGATAACTGAAGCGGTCAACACGCTCAACTGCTTCACTTCCTATTAGTTAAACAAGAATGGAGAAAGTGCATAGCCCTGACTGACACCACTTGAAGTAATCAATTCTGAAGATAGTTCGCCATATGCTCTGACTCGAACAGTAGTGTTTGAGCACAGAGCCTGTGTAAACTTAACGTACTTTTCTGGTACACCTTTTAGTGACACACACTGCCATAGAACCCCACGATCGACAGAGTCAAATATCGCCTTACGGTCCAGGAACACAACTGTTGTAGGAGGCCAACATGTGCGTCTGTGTTGCAGGACCTGTCGTAGTGTAAAAACGTGGTCCATACAGCCACGTTCAGGTCGTACACCAGCATGGTTAACTCTAGTCTGCTCTTCACAAGTTCTAGTTAAGTGTCTAGGTATTATCGAGGCTAATAATTTGGACGCTATGTTATTTAAACTGATTCCTCTGTGATTGTCACACAATGACTTTTGTCCTTTCTTGTAAATTGGGTCAATCGGGGATTGAGACCAGTCACATGGGATTACGTCCAGTTCTCAGATTCTACCTAAGATCGCAGTCAACCTAGCTGCTAAAACTGGACCAACATCCTTAAAAATCTCAGGAGTCAGTCTATCAGGACCCCCTGCCCTCCCTCTTTTCGGATTTCCTATAGCTTTCTCAACTTCACAAAGAGTCGGACAACTTACGTCGATTTGTCATTCAGGATGACTGGAGATCGTGAGCAACGAAAGTGTGGGTGGAGGCTAATTGAACTGATCCCTGAAGTTTTCCGCCCATCGATCCAATCTCCTGGGTTGAATTATAAGCCCATTCCTTTCTGAGGTAGTTTCGCTAACAGATGGATTTCTAACACCGGTTTCCTTGATAAGGCGGAAATGTTGTCTGCCGTTGACAATTGCCGCTGCCTTTTCCATCTCTCTCGCTTTCACCACCCACCACTGTTCGCGATCATTGCGTAGGTTTTTTATCAGCCTGCGCCTAAGCTGACTCCGCTCCTCATCGTACTTAGGACCAGACGGGATGAGTTTTCGAGCATCCATCAGTTTGGTAGATACTACTGAAACCCACCGCTTCTCCCCAACCTTGTGGTTTACCTTACTAGCAGATATCACTGCTGTTTCCACAGCTTTTTGATGTCACTCCAAACTGTCTCGCGACGGGCATTACTTATTATATGGCTGCCTAACTGTTTTTCTAATTGTTCCTGAAATATATTGAGGTTTGTTATCACTAAGTAAAGCCCTAAGAGGTTTCTTCGAGGTGTCTCCCCTATATCTGGTAAGCCTCAAATATTGTGAATATCGTCTTATTTAAGTATTAACAGTTTAACAAATTTTTATTTCCCCAATTCATTAACATCTAAACACCTTAACAACTTATCGCTTTACTCATTAATTTTTAACATTATTCCAACTCTTCTATTTCTCTTTCTCCTCGTTCCAGCTCCCTGTCCCTCCTATTTCCAAACTACCTATTAACTGACACATCTTACAAATTATACCATTCGTTTACTTAAAATCAGTGTGATATGCTACGTGGATATATTGTCTGGCAAAGTTGTCTGGATTGCTTGTAATATGGAGCTAGAAGAGAAAGTTAATTCCAATAAGGTGTACAAAAAAATTGAGAGTAGACTGGAGACCATTATTTACAATCAACCATTAAACGTAAGAGAGCCCTAACATCAAAAAAGGAGGGAGGGTGGTGTATCTGACCACCATTCATGACGGTGGGGCGATAACCTCAATCTACCCATGTCTGTGTGGCAGAACACTTTGTTTACTTACGGCTCCTTACGATATAGCAGGATGTAACTAATCAGTGGTATTGATGTTACTTTTCCTTGTAACCTCGTCTACAACTCATGTCTGTAACCTTGCACTGGTTTTTACTTCCTACCGAGAAATCCTATTACCAGCAGATCTGGACAACTATACTAAAAAAGAGCCCATTCATAACTTCTTGAGTTGCAGAGTTAAAAATAGAAAGGATAAATAATATAGAAACTTTCTATCACTGATCCTCTTTATTATATTTTGTAAATCAACTTCATTACTAACAACTTGGTTCTTCTGAATTTCCTCGATTCTTTCGACTAACTTCTCATTAGTTATCTCACTACTGAATTGTCTTCATTAACCTACAGGTGTAAGCACACAGGTGTAAAGTGTTCTGATATTAAAAATGTTTGGTTAAACATACCTTTGTTTTATCCATAATCGTATGTGCAAAGCCATTGTTCGGCTTTGAACATGAATATTTTCTGTTCTGCTCCTCGTCCCGTTTTCTTTATTCCTCTTTTTTCAGAACCTTATTCCAATTCTCATTTATTAGTCTGGATATTTGCAGTAGACTTGGTTACCCTACCAAGGAGCCTGTGAAATCATTAGCTGATGAATATTAACCAGAACGTTGCACATTTACCGCATCAATTCTTGTTATATGCAAACCTGGCTCTACCATGCATCGTTTCGCAGTCAGTAGGATGATAGTCGTAACGCAACCTTCGTAACTCGTGCCAATTATTCGCATTGTACACTCCATCTATAGAAATACGATGAATCTCGTGAAATATTTCAGTAACTGTATACCGTTTTAAAAGAAATATGTTGCTAATCTTAACATTTTGATCTTGCCTGTAAATTGGCATGTCTCTTGTAACATGTTTGTTATTTGAGAATAAATTATCATTATTATTATTATTATTACGTGCTCGCACTAGGGCATGATCTGAGTCTAAACAAGTGCTTGAGAATGAGCGGCAGTTTTCGATAGAGCCTGTCCCCTGACGGCTCATAGCGATGTGATCTAGTTGGGTCCATCATTGTGAGGATTTTGGGGGTCCAAAAATATTATCTTCTGAGTCATAACTCACCTTTAAACAAGAATATTTTCTGATCGGGTCCTCAACCCGTTCTCTTTATTTCTCTTTTTCAGCACCTTATTCTACCC